GCATGGTACTCTAAATCTCTGGTGCACTAAAGTATCTAGAGCCTCTCATGGTGTTGGTCCTTGGAAAAACATTAGCAGGAATGAATTCTCTCTCTAAAAATACCTCTTTCAGAGTGGGTAATGGAAACAATATCAAATTTTGGAAGGATACATGGCTTGGTAACTCGGTGTTAATGAATGAATATCCCAATCTTTTCAGACTAAACAGGGACAAAGACTCCACCATCTCAGAATACAGAGAAAATAGCAGCTGGAACCCTTTTATTCAGAAGGAATGTCAACGACTGGGAACTTGAAGAACTACTGACTCTACTTGCAAGATTGGAGGAGTGCACGTTGGATACACAGTCAGCGGATAGATTAAAATGGGGGAACACAAAGAAAGGAATTTATTCAGTGAAGGCAGGTTATATTCACCTCCATGCTCAAAATGATTTGATCAACAATTGGCCATGGAAATTGATCTGGAGAACTAAACTTCCAACGAAAGTCATATGCTTCACTTGGATAGCAATTCGGGAAGCATGTTTAACTAAGGATAATCTCATCAAAAGAAGCTTTCAGATTCCAAACAGATGTTATATCTGTAGGTAAGCTGCAGAAACCACCAACCACCTTCTTTTGCACTGTTCAGTTGTCTATGACATTTGGTGTATGTTCTACTCTATTTTTGGGCTAAGTTGGGTCATGCCACAAAGTACCAAAGAGGCGGTTGAAGTTTGGAGCTCCTGGAAAGTTGGCAAATCCATCAAGAAGATCTGGAACATGATACCAGCATGCATTTTTGGGGTAGTATGGACAGAAAGGAATCGTAGATGTTTTGATGGTTTATTAACTTCAAATCATGCACGCAAGGCTAAATGTTTTTTGTTACTCTTTAGTTGGTGCAAACTCTCCCCCGTAAATTCCCTTGAGCTTTTTTTGGATTTTGTTAGCTCCCTGGAACTATAGTTAGCCTATTCTGGAGCTAACACTCATCTTTTGTACTTATCATCTTGCATCTTCTCGATGCCATTAATGAATCTTATTACTTCATCAAAAAAGGGAGGTGGATAAGAACTCCCAGAAGTCTGACCCATGTTTATTGGGGCTTCCTATCAACTTGATTCTTCAGTTACTAATCTCTGAGTTTGATTTCGTTAGCTTCAGTGATAGATGGATGTTCAAACCAGTGTTGTTAAAGGCGCGCTTAAGCCCTGAAACGAGGCTCAAAACATGTTGAGTGCTTCGCCTCACTTTGTGGGCGCTTCAGTGTTGTATCAAGGCTCTAAACCATACTTTTCCTTGCCAATGAGTGTAATCCTGAAAAGACGACACTAAAGAATTGATACTTCACTTTATCATAATTTTTTTCCAATTTCTTTGTCCATATATTTGTTATTCATGCTTATAATTATTGGTGTTAGACTACATATACATATTTTTACTCTTTCTCTAGTTGCGCCTTTTTTCATTAAAGCTCACGCTTTATTTGCGCTTTGCGATTAAAGCCCCAACGGACCTTGGAGCTTTTTTTGTGCTTTTCACCTTTGATAACACTGGTTCAAACAAAAAGAATTATTATTGAGTTAGAAGACTTGTGCAGAGCATTTCCGAGAATGTTGGACCCATGAGAAATCTTAAAAGAAGAAGGGGGTTAGGGTATCATGTGACCGACATGGACCTCTTAATAAGATAAGGAAATCCACTCCAAAGATAAGGGAACATTCTTCAATCAACAACAGATTAAATACATGTTGGCACCCTTTCTTAAAGCAACATCTCAGCATGCCCTTGCAATAATTTCACAACTTCAAATAGCTTCTGCAAGGAAAGGTTGGGCTGGAGGGGGGTTTATTGGGAGGGTTCCTTTTGTATGTACCTCCCAAATTGATTGCGGGAAGAGGTAAGTTTTATTGATCCGAAATATCTTTTGTTCCTTTCTTTCCATAAAGTCCACCATACATCCTCCAAATTTACTTTGTGATATTGAGAGAGAAGTTCATTGAGACTTAAGATAAGGAAGTTCCTCCTCTGTCTCTAATACATAACAATACTGACATAACTATCGGTACCTGTTAAAGCTTTAGAATGAGAGATAGCCATATAACTGATCCTTTACTCCATCTATTGCTGACTTACTCTGGTCTATTGGATGCTAGTAGAGGATTTGGCAAAACCAGAACCATCATGGCCCTATAAGCATACTACTAAAACTCAAAGCTTTCTTTCAATACACTCACCCCATATGTCCTTTTTTCTCGGCTTTTTTTTTATCTAGAAAATTGTATGACCAACTATGAAGAGATTTTTCCTTTCCATGATTTGAATGAACTTCAGCTTTGGAGGGACTACTTCTATCGTCTTCCTAATGTAGATATAAATTACTCGTTCATCATCAAAAACAACAGTTGCTAAAAAAGGATAGAAACATATGAGATAGGGGGCAAAATGGGATCGCATGGTTGGCTTTGAAGGAATAGTGGAGGATGGTTAAGAGGTTGCACCTAGGAAGGAAGAGAAAGAGGAGGAGAACTTCTCAGTGGTTCAGGTGTATTTTGAAGTTAGCACAGAACTGTTGAACTACTAGAGAGAGAAGACTGCATCTCTGCAGAGAAGGGGTTTTGAAATATGTAGCAGATGTTTCCTTTGTGGAAGATCAAAGGAATCTACTAATTGCCTACTACTGCATTGTGAAAGCAGTTGGCAGATTTAGACTTTGTTTTTCAATGTCTTTGGTATTCGATGGATAACTCCAGAAGATGAGAAAGGCTTACTCAAATGCTGGAAAGTTCAGAAGACTGGCGGCAGTTTTGAGAAGATTTGGAAGACAGTTCCATTATGCATCAACAACAACAACCCAGTAAAATCCCACAAGTGGGGTCTCGGGAGGGTAGTGTGTACGCCGACCTTACTCCTACCCCAAAGGAGTAGAGAGGTTGCTTCCGAAAGACCCTCGGCTCAAGAAGACGAAAAAGACGAGAAGAGAAGTGAAGGGACAATATATTAGTACCATCAAACAGAAACCAAAGAAATAATATTAGCATCATAAAATCTAGAGAATAGTTGAAATGCAATAACAAAAGCAGAAAATAAGCTTGATGCTATGAAAACGTAAGGATAGGGAGAACACAACATAAACCCCTAGCGGTCTAAGACCACCCCTATCGAACTAGCCTCACCCCTGGACTCGACTACGTCCTAACCTACGACCCTAATGCTCGACCTCCACACCTTCAGTTCCATTATGCATCATGTGGACTATTTGGCTCGAAAGGAATAAAAGATGTTTTGAGGGGGCCTTAAAAACGATGTTTTGAGGGGGAAAAGCAACATGTAACTTTTGTAAGAAACTGATGTATATAAAACCAGTGGCGAAGCTAGGAATTTTTACACGGGTATTCAAATTTGAAAGAAGTAAAAAAAAATTCCCGACAAAGGGTGTTCAATATGTGTTATATACTTCTAAAACGTAATATTTTACCTATATACACAGTGTAATTTTTCGACGAAGGGTGGTTAACTGACCACCCTTGTGACCATGTGGCTTCGCCACTGTATAAAACCTATATATGTGGTGCAAAGAAACCAGGCTAGAAGATATGAATCAACTTTTTGAGTTCCTGGACTCTTTGAGGCTAGTGCTGAGATAGAGCCTTTGTAACTTTGTTGTTGTATGCTGCAGCACCCTCTTGTTACTTGCATTAATAAAATTACCTTACTTTCTCAACAAAAAGAAAAATTTCATGATTGAGAGGAGCAAAGAGTGACAACAATGGTTCAAAGGCTGGAAGAACGGGATATCACACGTGATGAAGAAGACATATTAGTTTGGAAAATAACCAGATAAGGAAGAGTATGTGAAATCCTACGACAATCTGTAGATTAGCACATACGAATTAACCAGTGGGTTTGGAGAATGATTTGGATATCAAAAGCCATCCCAAAGTAGCTTGCCTCAGAATGTAACTGCAAGAGATGCATGTCTGACGAGTCTGACCTTCAAAAAAGTGCATACATGGTATCCAACAGGCATTACTTGTTTGAAAATGCTCCAAAATTCCCCGATCATTTTTCATGCACTGCAGCTACATATGGTAGATATGGTGTCTGGAGTCCACTCCGCAACTTCTTTAAAGCACAGCTGGTTATGCCCAAAACTGTGAAGGAGAAATTCTGAGGCTTGGAAAGACAGTTAGAAGTATCACAGAGTATTCACAATTCCTGTGTTATATCCGGAACACTTGGTTGTAGAGAAACAGAATATGCTTTGAAACAAAACAGCAATTGAGAAATGTATATAATTTTGACATTATGTTGGATTTCATAGTCTTAGTATGCTGAATCCGTTGCTGTTTTACATTGTTATGTGCACCTGCGTGATGCTATGACTGATGATACAAAGATTACTTTTCCCAAAAAGAAAGGAAGGGGGGAGGAAAGTAAGATAAGAAAACCTTAATCTATAGGTACCAAACTTTTGGTGCTTAAATGGCTAGAGTATTTTATATTCATGCACTTATAGTTAATTCTAGACCTAAGCATCACTGCTTGGAAGTGAACCTTTTCTTGACCTAAGAATCATTCTTGGAACCTCCCAGATAACACACACATTCTATTGCAAGTTCCACATTTGGTGCTAAACACACCAATTTCCAACTAACAACTTCAGAAGATACAACCAATCATCTTCTTAACTCAACTCAAACAAGGCAGTTATGTTTCCTAAGCAAGTACATGCTCCACTGTATAAAGATAGGAATGTATAAAGATAGGAATGCACTATGAATCTGACATTTTTATCCCGCATTCAAAAAGGTACTTAATCTCACCAATGCACATCAACACCTCCAGATAATAACCAACAAATTAGGCATGAAAAAGAAACTTCAGCGTACAATTATGCACACACAAATCTCATTTAACTATAAAAATGTTGTTTTGAAGTTGTAACAGCAGAAAAATCTAATCTTGCAATTAAAAGAAGGAAAATAACCTAAAATTTTTATAATTAAACATACCCGGAAGCATCTAGAACAGTCCTAGAAATCTTCATTTTTTTCTTAGCCCCTTTATACAAATCCTCCAAACTACACAACAACGCATTCTCCACCGGCGCCGCCTTTCTCAACGCTCCACCGGTGCCAGAGGTCCCAGCTCCAGCACCGGAAAATTCGGCACCACCATTCGTCGTACTCCTAAAAAACGCATCCCTAGACTTCCTCGACCGCCCATTATTCTCCGACGACGAGGACCCGAACAATTCCGCATAAATATCATCAGCGTCTCGAGGATTAAAGCGGAATGTAGGGTTAGGATGGGGATTTCGCATGTTGTGGGGTCCACCTCGCGGAGGTGGTGGGACTTGACCTGATTTCAACGCCTCCTCGCCGTAGAGATCGTAGATCTGACGCTTTTGTGGGTCGCTTAGAACGTCGTAAGCTTCGGAGATTTGCTTGAATTTTGCCTCTGCTTCGTACTTGTTGGTGCCGAGGTTCTTGTCGGGGTGCCAGATCATCGCCAACCGGCGGTACGCTTTACGCAAATCTTCTTCACTGGCATTGCGATTAACTTTGAGTATGTTATAGTAATCGACCCCCATTTTTTTGGAAGCTAGGTTCTAGGTGGGATTATAGAACCGTACACACAGAAAATGATGAATTGGAAGTGAGTTTTGGAATTGTGAAGACGTGTTGATGGGTAAAGGTAAAAGAGAGATGGAATTTCTGGCTCGTCTTTGCTAATACCCTTGCGGGTGTGAATTGATGGCCCCATGTTCTGAAAAATGGGTTCTAGTGGTGACCCACCCTAAATTTGTTTTTGTTTTTTTCTTCTTTTTTTTTTAATGAATGACACAGTTAACCAAAAAAACAAAATTATTTACCCTTACTTACTCATTTATTTTTCTACCCACTAAATTAATTATATTTTTTACCTATAGTAATTTTTGCGGGGAATTTTCTCTTTTTTCTCCAATTTTTTTTTATTTCTATGCTTTTTTTCTTTTTTTTCTTTCTTTTCTTCTTTTCTTTTTTCTCATTTTCTTCATTCTTTTTTTCTTTTTTCTCATTTTCTTCTTATTTTTTTTCTTTTTTCTCTTTTTCTATTCATTTATTTTTTCCCAAATTATATTATTGTTATTTATACCATAACTTATTTCACACTCAATTTTGACTCATTTTTTATTTTTATTTATTTTCTTTATTTCTTGTTCCTTTTTTAATTCCATTTAACTCCTTTTTTCTTTTATTTTCTTTATTTATTGTTCCTTTTTTAATTTCATTTAAGTTTTTTTTTAATATTCTTTTTCTCTTCATAATCTATTTTCATTTATTATTTTCACTATTTTTGTTATTCTTGTTTTTATACAATAAGAAAAAATAATAATAAAATATTAAAAAATGCAATAAAAGTATAAGTAGCAAAAAAGACTTGTAGTACAAAATGATACCAATATGGTATACATGTATACCAACAGAGTATATGATTGCTCTAGAATATTACTACAACTATCTGCGACTATACTACTGTACCAAAACATTAAAGGATGCAATAAAAGTATGAAAAAATGACATGCTCGCATGCACTAAATATTCGCAAAGCAACTTGTTCATTTCTTATACTAACAGGGTATATAGTTGTATGGGGTCGTTCCAACAATTGCCTATTATTATAAAAATGATTACATAATACACATATTCTATGTCCATCGGCACAAAAAAAATTCCAGCAATGCAAATAATGTTCATATAAATAATTTCAGAATATAATTCACTTAAAAATGCATCTAAAACAACCAAAAAAATATTCAAACTACCATATGATACCGATATGGCATATAACTATACCAACATGGTATACGGTTTTACTTGTTAATTTCCGGCAACTATAGGACTATACTACTATTACATAACACACATGCATAGAGAGAAAAATTTAAAAAATAGTGTACCACATATTGATATAATAAAGTATTTTAAAATATTGTACTATATTACTATTATTAAAAGAAAATCAAATAATGTACCAATTAAATGCAGCTAATACAACCAAAAAATGATCCAACTAGCATATGATACCAATATAGTATATAGCTATACTAATAGGGTATATAGTTGTACGGGGTCGTTCCAACAACTACATATAACTATATAAATTATTACATAATACACAAAACCTATGTCCATAGGTACAAGAAAATCCAACACAGCAAAACATGATCGTATAAAATATTTCATAATAGAATTCACTTTAAAATGCAGTTAAAACAACCAAAAACTATTACAACTACCATATGATACCAATATGGCATATAATTATACCAATAGGGTATACAGTTCTACTAATTAATTCCAGACAACTATATATGACTATACTACTATTACATAATACACATTCATAAAGAGAAAAATTAAAAAATAGTGTACCACATATTAATATAATAATGTATTTCAAGATATTGTACTATAATACTATTATATAAAACAAACGCATAAATAAAAAATTAAAATGATTACATAATACACATGCATAAAGGAAAATTTTAAAAAAATCAAGATACTGTACTATTCTACTATTACTAAAAAAATCAAATAGTGAACCAATTAAATGTAGCTAATACAACCAAAAAATATTTCAACTAACATATGATACCAATATAGTATATAGCTATACCAACAGGGTATACAATTATACACAGAGAGTTAAAAAAATGTTTTTTTAATTCAATTATTAAACTAAAATAATATCAGTAAATTATATACTATTAAATTATATATTATATACTAAAATACTATACAATATATCAAAATAATATCTTGTGTTCTTCATTCAACATTATACTATTATGGTATATTGTATACTATTACATTATATTGTTGTAGTATATTGCATATTATTATAGTATACCATTACAGTATATTATATACTATAACAGTATATCGTTGCAGTGCATCTATATACTCCTACAATATATTATATACAGTAGCGGTATACTGTTGGGTAACTGTGTTCTTCTATTTTTAGTAGAAAAAATTGATCTCAATCACCTCAAATCAGCTCCAAATGCGATCAAATTTCAGTATAAACTTTCAGAAGGTACTATAAGCAATATTTAATAACACCCACTTTGGATTAAATAAGAAATCTTCAAAATAAAAATTTTAAATTCAATAGCTTCAAGCTCAACAATGGTGGATATTCAAATACACACAAAAATTCAGATCTGTGAAGCTTACTCGATGGTACTATAAGCAATATTTTATAGCACCCACTTCGAATCAAACAATAAATGTTCAAAATAAAATTTCAAATTCATAGGCTTCAAGCTCAACAATGGTGGGTCTTCATACACGCACAAAAATTAGATCTGGGAACTTTAATATATTAAGTAATCGTATGTGCCACTTAAAATAAAGAAAGACCAAATTATTTAGTTATCAAATTGTAATAGCTACTAATTAAGCTTGCAAAAAATGAAGCTAGATGTCTTAATATTTTGTACTTCAAATGCGAAGGTAAATATGTACCGCACATGAGCGAAGGTAGTTTATTGGATTATTGAATTGATTTAATACTTTTTTCACAAAGAGAAAGCTAGGGAGTTTTATTAAAAGGGAAAATACATTGTTTGGTATGTTGAGTAAAACAAATTCAAGGGAGAAAGAGGAATGGGTAGCCGGGAAATAGATTTGGATCAAATAGGTGAAAATTGTAAATAATTTTTAAATTGGCAAAAACGGGTAATTAGTTTGTGCCTCATATGTAGGTTGCGTAGTTTCCTCTTGTTTTTTTCTTTTTTTTTTTTTTTTTTTTGCTTCAGTGCATTTGTATAATTACATTTGTATTTTTAAGGCTAAATTGCACATTTTTGCAATAATAGC